ACGGCCGCGCTCCTCCGAAGAGGAGGCGACGACGACGCGAGCGGTCGGCGCGAGGCTCGGAGAGTGGGGGTGGACGGATGGGGGGTGTGGCGCGCGGGGTGACCTTCGGTGGAGGCGCCTGGCGGCGGGCTGGCGCCCGACGCGGGCCTCCGCGGGCGCGGGTCGTTGGGACCTCGGCGCTCGCGTGCTTGAGCTTGCTTGGTGGAGTGTGTTGCGACTCCTCAGGCCTCGACCTCGGCCTTGTCGTCGCCGACGGTAGGCATGCTCTCGCGGCGGTGCTGGCGCGCGGCGACGACGCGCTTGCGGACGAGGAAGAGGACGGCCGCGATGAGGAGGACGGCCGCGACGACGACGGGGATGATGATCGCGAGGGACGCAGGTTTGCCGCCGTTGCCGCAGGAATCGCCGCCGCTGCCGTAGCAGGTGACATCGTAGAGCGAGTAGTAAGTGTTGGCACGGCCTTGGAGTGATTCACCACTTTCGACGTCGCAGCAGAGGCAGCCCCAGCCCACGCCGTTGGTTGTCCTGGAGGTTCCTGCGACGCCGAGGCGCGTTCGCGCGTCTGGCGTCGGGGGACGCGGGGGGAGCTCGCAGGTGCGGTAGCGTCGTACATTTTGAGACACTCGGGCGTGAGGATCGTTTTTTCGCGAAAATTTGACTTTCAACCCGCACTAGACCCGCCCGCGCGCGCGCGCGCGGCAAATTTTCAGGAGGTTTAGTACACGTCCCTCCGGCCGCTGGCCGGATTTAATTAATAAATATTATTTTCTTATTTCGTACGGGCGTGTCTAGGCGTCGGTTGTTTTTGGCACTGGAGGTGTTGCTTTTGTTATTTTGTCATAGCCGGCGGGATAGGCTACCCCCGCGGCGTCGGAAAAGTACGTTACACCTCCGCGCAGGAGAACGCGGCGACGCTCGGCGGCGCGCAGGCCGCGTCGTAGCAGTGGGCGTACTTCTGGGCGATGACTTCCGGCGTCCCGTCGGGCCCGGGCTGCGTGTGCATCGTCTGGGAGCAGCCCGACGTGTAGAGCGCGGAGGTGTCGACGAAGGACCCGTACCAGTCCCGCCCGTAGTAGGCGGCCTCGGCGGCGAGCTGGCCGTCGCGGTCGCCGGGCGCGAGGGGCGTCGTCGCGCACGCCGTCGTCGCCGCCGCCGCGGACCGGTCCGCGGCGAGGCCGAGCAGCGACCCGCGGAGGTACGCCTCGAGCTCGTCGCGGTAGGCCTGGACGTCCGCGAGCTTCGCCCGGAGCTTCTCGGCGTCCGTCGCCCCGAAGGCCTCCAGCTGCTTCGGCAGGTCGGCCCAGTCGTCGACGAAGACGAAGGGCGCGCCGCGGATCGCGCCGTCGACGCCCCGCTGCCAAAAGGCCGCGGCGTCGCCGCAG